TGAAAAACCATTTTATTAACCTGATTGTTAACCTGTTCACCAGTCATACTACTTAAAATGTATGTAAGTAGCATCAATCGTTTTCACACATTATTAAAATATTCGTCAACATTTCCCCAAATGAAATGCGTTGGTTACATATATGTACAGTATTTATTCTCACTCAGTTTATATTCCTAGACATTCAGGCTTTTGGTGATAAAATCAGAAAGGCATTCAGAGTGTATACATTAGTTGATTCCTCGATCTAATTTACGTCCACTCATCTCTGCTTTCATGCTGAACAACAAAATGTAACTTAGTATTTTAGCAACTTGAGATTGGTAATGAGGAAAACATTTTGACTATTTACATCTTGGGCTTTTGAGACTAAGCATTCTTATCACAGTTTAAATTTAATTTTCTTCATTGTTTAAAACCTTCTGCACAATAACTCCGTAAACTTTATTTATTGTTCTCTATAAACGTGATGGTGTATAAAACTTTTGCCTCATGAAAGGAGGTCTACTGTACCATACATTGAATGGCAAGAGTCCAACTCAGTCATCCGTTTTGCGAAGCCCCTGTTTGATAAATTAGGAGCATTGGAGTGTGATTACATTTTTTGTCAATATCATAATGAAACAAAATAAGCAGTTTTATGTTAAATTTAACAGTAATATACTCATATTTGTCAACGTATTGATTCATTGATTCTGATAAATTATATGACATTCATAGGAAGCAGAAAGAAGGGTTACATGCAGTTTCATTCACTCTGAAACGATACACATACAACAACATCTGTCAGACTATTGTAATGCTGTAAAGGTCTGTAAACAAATGATATCAAATGCATACAGTGCATTCGTAGGACATGAGTTGACAATAGAAACTGGTTTTAAAATTCCTCAGTTGGTTGAAATGTTTTGAAATACCCTTAAGTGAACAATGTGACCTTTTTTAAGAATATGTATAACAATGCTGTCATACTATTGGTGATGATGAGAAGACAAATTTTGAAAGTGAATCAAGGTGAATCATTGACAGTTACTTTTCCCCACTTGCTTCGTATTCTGCCGCCAAATATGTAGCATAAAAAAAGTCGGTTCGTTGAGCATCGGACTAAACAAAACGCAAATCCCTTCTAATATTTGAAGTCAGATTGATAATTTTCACGCACTAAATGTGATACAGTAAAACCATTGATGAATTTTTCAACGTTTATGAAATTGTAACCTTCGCAATAATTTGATTCGGAACATTTGAACATACTGAATGCCTGTTTTGACTTGTGTCATCGGACAAAAATGACTATTTTTCTACGCTGATAAAGGAAAGGTGTAGTCGTTTGCTGGGAAACTATCAGATGTAAGTGACCAGTATGTGTGTGAGAAAAGTACTGAATAAAGATTCATAGAACAACGCACACATAATGGATACTGTTACAGCTGTTCTAGGACAAAAGATGCTTCTCGGGACAATTCATAAGTGAATTGTGTCATTGTAAAATAGCCTCTAAAGTTGGATACGAAAGATAAAATAATTTGCTATAGCTATCTCATATTCGATTAATAGCTTGTTGAAACTGACAGATGTGCCTTTGATTTCTCAGAGATTTCCCTGTAGTATATGAATTGATTTCTCTTCCTTAAACTACATGAAAGTTAACATCATCGGCTTTTCATTGATCAGTTATTCACCTATATCAAACTTCATATTACTGACATCGCACAAGTCTCATATTACCTATTTCAAGTTTAGTTGCAACCGTTTATAAGAACAGTAGATTGTGCCATCCCAGTTTTGACCTGCATATCTTGTAATGATATGGAGAAACCATTTCAATGGTTAGCATACATCGACATGTGTCAAAGTGCTGTGTATGCGTTACGCTGCTTTCTAACTCCAAGAAATTTCATTAGGAAAAATTCCATAAAATCAGAATTTTCTACCAAATTAAAGCACATTTTCGGAAATTATCTTTCAAGATGATATTTGAAACTTTCAAAGGTTCACCATAAACACAATTTTCATGCACTTTATTCTTAAAACACTGTTCAACGGAGGATTTCAGTAAGTTCATTTGTTATAATTATTGGTGTTTATATATCTGTGGATTAAAACGTTAGTTTTGACCAAGTGAATATTTTAAAGTCTACTAACAAGATATTTATATGAAACTGGTGACGTTTTTCCACAAAGTAAACGTTTCTATTGATTTACTGCAATTACTGATGATTGGTATTATATTATTCCTTCGATATTTGATCTTATCCGTCAACGGTATTTATAATATCATTCAAAGTTGTTTCTCTCACTTCCTAAGGAATGCAGGGCCCATCATCACTTTCATTTCACCCTTTTCCGAACCCAGCTGTTAAACGCTGTTGTAACCAGAGACGAACCGCTTAAGAATGAAGATGGCCAAAGTGATCAGACAGCTAACGGATGGGTAGGGTAGTAGCTGCAATGGAGTCACTAGAGGTAAATAACTGGGTGGTAAAAATGAGTCGACAACCTTCAAGAAGAGGTGGCTGCACTTAGAATGAATACCAACATATACTACTTATATTCATTCTTATCAGCAACTCCCATTACACTATAATAGTTATTTCCTATTATCAATCATTATAAAAAGGTGAAGTGATAATTCTATCCATCTTGATAACGAACTCATCTATGCATATGTTTATTTCCCTAACAAAATTATATTCATATTGTAAGTTGACCTATTTCTACGCATCATCTTTATTGAGAATTTCATTGTAACTTCACAATTTATGAGATGCATTTTCGTATTTCGGTTATATTTTGTTACAAAACTAGTACTCCAAATATTACTATATATATATATATATATATATATATATATATATATATATATATATATATATATATATATATATATATATATAAAGGCTGAAAGACGGGGAGCTAAGTAGACACTTAAGTTTCATTATTTCAGGACAATTGATTGATGCATATGCTTTGCATTATATTCACCTTATTCCAGTTAGAAAACAGATAACTGAGACCAATGAAACAAATGAGTTTAGATATAAACCTTATTTACAATGTATATACATAATGTTCGTATATAAAATACACTGCACACGTAGTGTGAAAGTTAACAAACGTTTTGTTCAGAAAGATTAAGTAAAGATGCTTACTGAAATCATAACATTGTTGTTTATATAAGTTCAAAAACATGCCTACATCAAAACAGAAATGAAAAAGTAAAACAAGAAAACGGAAAGAAACTGCAAACAAAAGGTTATTATTATAATTTTTTTCCCTATGGTTCTTAGTGGTACATAGAGCTTCTGTAGCACGCTTTCATTCCACTCTGTTCTCTGCAGTCTTTTCAAACCTCGCTCCACAACCACTCACAAGCTTTCATTTCTTCTTCATATGATCTCTTCCATGTCACCCTCGAATGCCCATCTCGTCGTTCCCTCTTTGAAAAACTTTATATTTACTCAGGGAAAAGCAAAATACCTGTTAAGCCATTGAATCAAAACAGTCTAATTCATGTGGAAAAACGTCGACTAAAAATTAAAATGTTCACTCAAAATTCCTTTTCGATCCGTCAAGTATTGAGAAAAAATACACGTAGTTGTTGTTCACTTTACAGCGAGATAATAAGCACAACCGATTAAAAATTATTATGTTAACGGCAATATAAAACTCAAAGCAAAAGTCATTGAGAGTGTGCAATGAAGGCAATACTGAAACAGTGGGCAACGAATGAGTTAATGTGAAACCTACAGTGATGTATCTGCTTTTATGTCTACGTTGATGTGTTGGACAACATGTTTGTTATGCCTCTTTGTTCTTAAGCTTACAACCAGGAATTCGTGCACCACGACCCACAATTTCACCTCGCCACCAATGACAGTCATGACGAAATGTGTTCACCAGAAAAGTACAAACTGATGTTCACTGAACTTGCGACAACACTACACCCTCACCACACGCACACGCAAAACACCAGTGAAATGAAATTTCACACAGAAATGTGTACAACGAATATGGTTTGCATCTGTTTCATCGACAAGCTAGAAGCTGACCGGTGCATGGCAACCGAGATGGCGCATTGTGAAGTTGAACCCACCGATCTCGTAGTGAACAAGGAAAGAAAGCCAGCATACCATAATTCAAGTTGTGATGACAGAAGTAATTTTACCACCTGGTTGACTGCAACATACACTGATACATGATGCGATCAATGCATTTGAGAAGGATGTTGTGGTGGTTTGATGAATGATATCATATGAATGCACGCCATATCATCACATCGAGTCACCTCATACTCGCTTTATTTCACGCGAAAATATAAACATCCTGTTCAGTTTGGTGAAATTATTTTAAGTGTTTCTCAAAGGTTCATTCATCTCAACCTCCCCTAATTGAGTATCGACGTGGATGAGCAATGCTTACAGCTTCGTGAAACATTTAACAACCACGTGTCATTTGTGGAATGGAACCGTATAGACGCCACCTAAGACAGCTAGCTCGTTGATGAAAGCAGTATTTGCCACAGATTCGACTTTTAGTGTGAGGAAATAGTGGATACATAATGTGTAAATTTGGAAAATCATGAGAAATGCTTACCCTTGGTTTGTGCTTCTGTGCCGGCCACGATTGTTGTTTCTACAATAACGGAAATGCAATAGATATATCACAAGACTTTTGATTATCCGAAATATAAGTAACTCGCAGCAGGCTCAGTTCTTTAGGAGGAAACTGTTTGTGCGCGAAATTCGACGGGGTTTTGATTAGTCACAGCTAACTCGAATGTCGGTTAGTGAGCTCCGATGATTTCTCAGCGAATTATAGTCAGTGCTATATGTGACGAACTTTTTCAGTAATTCGAATATGGGGAACAATGAATCTTCCAACCATTTAGTGAACTTTACTCCACCAATCTCAATATCAATATCACATTCACGCATTCTACTCAACTAATCGTAATCAAACTATGTGAACAAGGATATAATGCAACAGAACAAACTTGGTTAGGAGAAATCGTAATGATCATATGGCTTACGTGTTGAAACCGATTCCTTTGCAGCAGTTAACTGTTCAGTAGTAATCACCGTATCTTCTCGAATGTTTGACACTCCTGTTGATGGTATGATGGACTTTTCTGCCGTTGATTCTTGACTTTTGGTGTTAACACTTTTAGCCTCTGAACAATTGAATACAAATAGGCATTAAATGGAAAGGTAAATGATGATTTTCATGGAAAGTGACTGTAGTGGCTAAATTGACGCAATGGATGTATCAGGCAACTGCTTGAGATTTGGTTGATTTCGAAAGCTGTCGCTGAATATCATGAGATCACTTCTATGTCTGTTTTGTTTGTCATATCACTTCCAGTCAACTCTCAGCACTTCCAAATGCACACTCTTATGAAGTGAGTCTGTCTAAAATGATGGCATCCACTTCTCATTATTTCCTCTTCAAATAAAAAAGACTTCTTCATAGCTCAATAGTGAAGTTGTTGATTTTCGGATGAATGGAGTGTGACACTGTTGATGACTATAGGATATATGCCAACTAATGCTGTTGACAGGATCATGCCAACAAATTCGAGTGTTTACCGATTCGAATGTCAGTCATCAGCTTTCATTCTCAGTATTTCAAATCAACATCACATTCATGCATTCTACTCAGTTAATCATAATCAAATTATGTGAAAAAGGACATACTTCAACAATCAATGAAATTATCTATCATCTCAGATTTAATTCGCTGGTCGCTGATATCGTGAAGAAATTTCTACAGCTGAGAGATGTTACAGCTTTTGATTGTGGAACAACTCAGATAATATTCGATAAGCTTGAAGCCACCAGAGGGCATACATGGGAAGATGACAATAAAGAAGTCAGGTGGAAACCAGCTATCAACTGAGTACTGGAATACCATATAATATTTGTATATGCAATGTAGGGTGCAGTGATCCAGGCTTACTTATTTGTCAAGGAGATTATTCTCTGTCACTTCGTGTTACACGAATTGGAAGAATCTAATATGAAACTACAGTCAGGCACACTGCCCAGCTTTTTTATTCATATTTTAATGTAACAGAATAACCTTGGCGGATAGTGGCTAGCAGCGATATCAAGGATGCGCAGTTCTTCCTATTTGGGACAATTATACCAGAATAAACTCGGTTATGAGAAATCGAAGTAATCAGATTACTTACATGTTGAAACTGATTCCTTCACATTAATGGTTTGCTTCTCTCTTTTCAATTCTTTTCTGTTGGTGTCCACGTGTTTGATCTCTGAACAATTGAAAGGAGACATGTATCAATAAGTCAGTGAATTAAAACGTTTAGAAGTCTATTGTGATAGCTAACTAATGTATCCCTTTGAGTTTATTGAGTGATTTAATTTCAAACATGAGAGCAGTTTTTCAGTTTTATGAGATCACCCCTTTCTGTCTAATTGAATGTTTTTGCGTTTTCGTTTTAATACAGTTTCCACTGTATTATTGGCACTCCTTCATGCACACTGTGATGAATTTAGTCTACATTGAGATATCGTGTCTACACATCATCATATCATGTTCGTATAATGATCATCAATTCTAACTATTTTATGGAACTCTGTGTTACAAACAAATTGACTTCGATGCTGCGTATTGTCACAGAATATATGGTAACTTCTTCACTTTATGATGTGTCTTTGTGAAATTTGTGACAATTACATTTATGTCTTCTGCTTCCATATTTATATCTACCAACCAAGAGGTGATATGTGCTTACCATATGATGTTGTTTGTTTAGCTTAATTGGACATGAATATACTCATTCCCGCATTCAATATCACTGTCTTCTTCAATTGCAAATTGTAAGAGAGTTCAGCAGCAAGAATACTTGGTATCTGTTACGGGTATATCATGTCATACAGGGCTCAATGGTTAGCAAGTCACACAACATTTCGACTTTCAACGCAGCATTATGAAACACAGGAGACGATATTTGGTCATCCGAGTCCCTGAACCTTTCTAATTGACATCAATTTAATCAGACAACCTACGTGTCGTCTGTTCATCCCTCATCACATTCCCTTCTTTCATGCCTAAAATTCCTCTTGAAACGCTGCTTACTCTCCCCCAGTCAATTTCTTACTAAGCCTCCATTTCTATTCAGTGAATATTCAGGTGGTCATATGCATTGCTACTTCCTATTTTGTCTTTTGTGGCTTATTTTCTGAATTGTTGTTCAACTGATTCTCGTTTGCTTCTCCACAATAAACTTTCTTATTCATGAATATTTTCCCTCAATATTTTGATTGGCAAGCTATAATTCAGTTTCCTAAATGTATTTAACTTCAAATAAGATGAAACGTGGGCTCACTTGTGTGAAATCGAATTTTTGAAACCCCGTCAATTCTTTATCAGAAATACCAACTGAATCCGACACAAATACTTCGACTACCATTTCAGCAACTGTCCTTGTCATTGAGGTTTTCTTAGATATTGAAATGGTATCAGAGCATTGATTTTCATTGATTATCTTCAGTCTATCAAGCTTCATACTTTCCATCACCTAAATATGACAGTGTATAGAAATCACAACAGTAAATACTAGTAGACAAGTTTTCGAATTTGGGATGCATAGTACACCTTAACCTACAATCGAGTACACTGCATTCATTCCAGTTAACATCGTCATCAAAAACATAAGTATATATCGTTTATGTGAAGAAAACATAAAGTCAGGCATTGAGGTGATATTTTCTGGCGATAAATACCCTTGGGATTGTTGAAACTGTTGTACGATGATCATGTTACACTCAGAGTCATCAAAGTTGTTCCAAACATCAAAGGAGAATTTCTATTCAATAAAAATTTTGTCTGAATTCTCATCTTACTGGAAGGTTTCAAATATCAACTATAATGTTGGTAGACTGTCACTCAGCTATCAATGCTTCACTTATTTAAACCATCAGATGCTTAATGGATGTACTATTCCCACGAACCGCCACAATAAACAACAATTCAGTATTCACTACAAAATCATTTATGAATTTAAACAACGTACATCATTACAAACTTTAGAGACCAACTGCTTATAAGCACTTGTTCCATAAATTCCATAATCCTCATTGCAAAATAACAAATCAAATTTCGCCTTGTCTATAACAGCAGAGCTTTCATTTATATCGTTTTCCTTCCTTTAATGAATAGTAAGTGCGGTTACCTTCACTTTTAAAGTATATCAAATACTCAGAATAAAAAATAGTCATATCATGACAATATGTAAATCTCATTCCCCTTGTGATCCTATAAGGCTTGTTCACAGTGACTATCTCAGCCAGTGTATAACCACACAAAATTCATGTACACAGCTATCGGTCAACTGCATCTTGACTAATTTTTCAAAATGAAAAAAATATGAGAGACGACGTTTAGTGAAAATATTATTCCTTGCTAATCACTTCGCACATTGCGTTTTATTCAGTAAACAGAAGTTTCTGGCAGGGGTCATAAAAGCGTATCATGTTTATAATTAGCAGACAAACGTCAAAAAGTGATTCACTAAAGTGTGATATCTTCATAGAATGACAGAATGTTCAGTGGTCTTTTATGTGCAAAGATCACTGTCGGTCAACATCTTTGAAGTTATCTACACTCGAGATGATTCAATTCAGAATAACATGTTTGATAATAATTATTTTTTATTATTAGTCCCTTGGGTTCCTAGTGGAACATAGGGCTTCACTAGCACGCCTCCAGTGAACTCTGTTCTCTGAGATCTTTCGAACCTGGTTCCACAACAGCCCACAAGCTCTCATTTCCTCCTCGCACGACCTACTCCATGTCACCCTCAGCTGGGACGTCCAACTCGTCACTTCCCATGGGGATTTCACTCGAGGGCCTGACGCGTACTGTCCCCAGTCGGCCTTTTCAGTGCATGCACAATCCATCTCCACTTCCTCCCACTGCATATTTGTTGCGTGATAGGTTCTTGGTTGGTTCGTTCCCAGAGTTCCTTGTTGCTTATTCTTATTACTTTGGCAATCCATCTGATCTTCAGTAGCGAGTCTCCGTAGGCAGTTGTTGATGAATGTCTGTAGTTTATTGGAAATCCCTTTCGTAATGCGCCAAGTCTCTGAGCCATACAGAAGCACTGACCTGACTGACGTTGGTGTTGAAAATCCAGGTCCTGTTCACATTGCAGGCTGAGTGCAGAAGATCTCCACACTGGTTTCAGGCTAATGAACGCCTGTCTTGCTTTTCCGATTCTCACTTTGACATCCTCGTCTGTGCCGCCCCTAGTTGAGACAGTCCTTCCTAGATAGGTGAAGGAGGTTACTTCCTCTAAGTTTCTCCCGTTGATGGTGACTGGAGTTTGTTGTTGTTGTTGATGGTGGTGGTGCGGTATCTTCATCACCTCTGTCTTCTCTATATTCACTTGAAGTCCCGTCTTCGCTGCCACACCTCTTCTGTCAACTTGTTAGTTTTTGCCTGCAGATCTTCAAGTTTGTGTGACATCAGGCACAAGTCATCGTTGGCGAAATCCAAGTCTTCTAGGCTCTTTTCTGCAGTCCAGCCAGCTTATCCCCGCCCCTCTTCTCGCTCCCCACTGTTGTCTGTTGCATGATCCAGTCCAGTCGACCACAATCAGGAATATCATGGGGGATAGTAGGCAACCTTGTTTCACTCCTACTCCTGTCTTCACTTCGAAAGCATCACTGAGCTTCCCATTGTGAATTACTTGGCTGGTATGTGGCATCTCCATATAGTTGTTGAATGAGGCGGATAAAGGTTTGCGGTACTCCGTAGTAATGAAGCAGTTTCCAAATTACTTCTCGGTCGACGCTGTCAAAGGCCTTATCAAAGTCGATGAAGTTGAGGTAGAGAGCTGATTGCCATTCTATGCTCTGTTCTATGATGATGCTCAGTGTAGCGTTGCAATTTGGTCTGCACACGATTTGTACTTCCTGAAGCCTGTCTGTTCCGGGCATAGTTTTGAATCCAGTGCATCGTTTAGCCTCTCTCTCCAGGATGATGCGGCTTAATATTTTGCTTGCATTGGGTGGAAAGGAGAGTGATTCCACGCCAGTTCTTGCAAACACTGAGGTCGCCCTTCTTCGAGAGTTTGACAATGTATCCCTTCTTCCAATCGATGGGCAAGTACCTTCTCTTCCTTCCACACCTTCTGCAATAGTGGTG